ACAGAGTGGTCCAGTGGCAGCAGGCTGGACAGGAACACCACACAGTCTAGTGGAGGCAGTCCCGGCAGAACTGTGACCACTTATAAAAAGCATGCAGTTTATAGAGCATTTTCACTTAGCATCCTTCCCCTAACAACCTTCGCCTGGCAGTCTTCACTGAACTCGAAACAAAGGGTCTTGTTCCATTCCACAGGACAAGGCAGAGGCCCAGATATTCCTCATAGTTGAGAACTTAATCTCCAAGTTGGCCACTCCCAGTTTCTCGGAAGTCCAAATACATATTCAGTGTGTCTTCCAGGCAGCATCATTCTCAGGGTATGCTTGTTATTGCTGTCAGGTATCACTGTTGTCTACCATACAGGGGACTCCTAGGGAAGTTTTCCTCACTGTTAAATGGGTCACACAAGAAGAGAAAGGCATTGACTTGTGGTCTTTGTAGGCTTCTTATAACCATGAGCCAAAACCGAAGGGGAAATAACAATAAGCTTAGGACGGTGGAGCAGAGAGAAAGAGTACCGACCTTGGAAACAGCCCTATATTTGGACTTCTCATTGACATCATAACAGTACTGATTGTTTAAGTCCTTTATGTCACAATTTTATGTGTAGCAGAAGCTTTCCTGACTGATAAACCTACCGCTTCTTATAGGTTAATGATTGTTCCATTAGTAGAAAATAGTAATCCATGCTCAAGAAGTGATTCCCAGTTGCCAGATAAGGTGATAAGGAACTCATCACCTTATCACCTTTCCCTCCATCCCTGAAATTCGGTCTTTTCTGCTTTCCTCTTGCACCCCTGACTCTCTGCCTCCTGCTCTGGCCTTTGCTGATCTTCCTGCAAAGTTCTCTGACTTTTCCTGCTCTTACCAGGGGTCCTCTTCTTGGTTCTCTTCAGCTGTCCATGCCTTCAGACTGGGTCATATCTCTCTTTAGGGGTCCAAGACCATGTGCCCAGCCCCTACCAGACATTTCCACCTGGGGGAACTGTTGGCTCCATGACTCATCACACAAACTGCACCCATGACTTCACCCTCCTGAACCTGCTCCCTGGCTTTCCTATATTATTTTTCTAAATCCTCAGTTGCAAAAAACAAAAAAAATGGGTGTCCTCTGTAACTCTTTCCTTTTAATTCTGGTATCAAATTAGTAAGTCCTGACAACCTCCAAAATAAGTCTTGTATCCATGCCTCTTCTCCATGCCTCCTGCTGTGAACCACGTGCAGGTCATCATTGCCTGTGACAGCTTCCTGATCAGCTTCCATGTCCTTAGTGTTACATCCTCTGGTCTGTCCTTCGTGTGTCATCTACAACTAAAGATCTAAGCTTGAATATTCTAAAGTTCTACTTCTGCTTGGTATACAAACTTCGTTATTCCCTCACACAGGCCTGCTTATTTAATCTCACATTCCTTCCCCTCCTCTCACACTTCATGCTCTGGTTAAACCTAATACTTTTTTTTTTTGACAGGGCCTCACTCTGTCACTCAGGCTGGAGTGCAGGGTACAATTATGGCTCACTGCAGCCTCGAACTCCTGGGCTCAAGTGATCATCCCATCTCAGCCTTCTGAGTAGCTGGGACTGTAGGCATGAGCCACCAAGCCCAGACAAACTCAACTCTTTATAGTGTTTAAACCATCCATGCTTTCACTTACGGCTGGCACCTCCCACGTTCTCTGCCTGGAGACAAATACGCAATTACTCATGAGATACTTGTAGACGTCATAGAGGGGAGGTAGCTGTTGAGTCGAGCCTTGCTGAGTGAGTAGAAGTGTGCCATGTGGCGTCCATGCAGGTGGTATTCATGGTTCTTGATCTCAAGGAATTTGTACTTTAGTGGAAGCCAGCTGTATACACAAGTGTAACACTTTGTGATATACTATATTGGAAGTGTGTTCAAACTGTAGTATGGAGGCAGCAATGGAGATCCTTGAATATAAAATTATTTTAACTTGGGGGAAAAAATGACATCGGCTGCCTTAGTCCGTTCAGGTTACTATAACAAAATACTATAGACCAGATGGCTTACAATGAACAGAAATTTATTTCTCATATCTCTAGGGCCTGGGAAGTGTAAGACCAAGATGCTGGCAAATTTGGTGTCTGGTGAGGGCCTGCTTCCTGGTTCATAGGTGGTTGTCTTATTGTGTCTTCACAAGGTGGAAAGGACAGGGAAATCTCTGGGGTCTTTTTTATAGGAACACTAATCCCATTTGTAATGGCTCCACCCTCATGACCTAATCACCTCCCAAATACCATTGCATTGGGGATTAGGTTTCAACACATAAATTTTTCAGGGACACACTCAGACCGTATCACTGGCTTCTTTGCATTTACAAAGCATCTAAGCCGACCTCTCCAAAGCACAGGGTTTAAAATGATGACTTTTAAACCCTATAGCAAAATCAATCTAAGTAGAACAAGTAAATGTATTAGGACATTGTGAAGCAAATCTGAAGATGGGAGAGAGTGTTTCTGAATTGCCCTCATAAGATCCTCTACATTTTATTACATTAAAATGGACCTTATTTGTACCCTCTGCTCTATTCTGAATGTTGGTGTTCCCTCTGGATGGGCCTCCCCAGATGGGCATTCCTCCAGAGATGGAATTTCTCTGTTCCATGTCCCTGGGTACTTAACCCTGTGTTTTCAATTGTTATTTTTAGTGGGTCCCTCCCAAATCCCTATCTCCAGCCTAGTCTGTTAGTGCAGTTACTTATGAAACATCTGTGTGGACATTTCACAGGTATCGCCATTGTATCACATCCACAACGGAACTCATTATCTTCTCTGCGTCTTCCACTCTTCCCCAGTCGCCCCTAGTTCCTCTTTCTGTGTCCTTAGTTTCAGGAAATATTACCCAGTTGCCAAATTAAGTAACCTGGGAGTCATTCTTGATTTCTTAATCCAACCTTTACTGAACATTTTCAACTCTACTTCCTAAATATAACTCAGTGCCTTGCTACCACCAATCCAGGCTACCAACATCAGTCCAGTTTTACAGTAATGAACATCGATGTGACTCCCGATCCACTCACTACTCCGCACCTGCTCACCTCTTCTCCAGTGCATTCACAATCAAGTCATGCTTTAAAATGATGAATCAGATTGTGTCATCTGCCCCTTAAAACCCACTAGTGCTAAATGCAATGTAGTGCCCTGGATTATATCCTGACACAGGAAAAATGAGAGTAGTGGAAAAGCCCATGGAATCAGAATAAAGCCTGGAGGTCAGCTATTGTAATGTACTGATGTTGGTTTCTTAATTTTGATAAATATACCATGATTATGTAAGATGTTAGCATTAGTAGAAACTGGGTAAGGGATACATAGAAACTTTCCGTAGTATCTTTGCAACTTTTCTGTAAATAGAAAACTATTGCAAGATTAAAAGTTTATTTAAAAAATCATTAGCAACTGTTCCCCTTATAGTCCAAAACCTTTCACGTGATCCATTTCCATTCTCTAGCCAGACTAAATTCCTTATTCAATTCTTCTAGTGCAATAAGCCTTTTCCTCACCTCCAAATATTCAGTGTCTGGCTCATTAATAAATGCTTGATACATAGTGGCTAAAAGTTTGTTACATTTTTAAAATAAAAACTGATTACACACTGGTGACTGATAAATTTGGGAATTTATAAGCTGAGCTGGAGCCAGGACAGCCCAGGCAGTCTTTCATCTACGTATGTTTATTTCTGATGCTCTCTTCACTGCCCTTCTTAGCTTTACCTCTCTCTCTCTCTCTTCCTTTCTAGGCTGTTACCCTTGACATGTGCAGCAGCCCCTCGAAGCTGTGGAGACCAGGTCATCTAGAATGTCCATTTATGTCAATGGAAGAAATGACATCCTCACCACTGCGTTCTCCTATCCACCCTGCTCCCGTCCACTTCCTGCAACTCAAATGTTGACAGTTTAACAGTGGGTTTCTGGAAACCGTGCTGCCTCCTTGATGGTCTAACTACCAGAGTTACTCCAATAGCAGGAATTTCAAGCCAGGTAAGGGGAGCCATGTCAGGCTGCCAGATGGTGGGGAAGATAGGTGTGGGTGAGCTGGCTTCAGACTAAAGCAGGGAAGAGGGAATCAAGTGTTGGAATCACTTTTGAGAAAAGGAGTCAAGTGAACCTCATTACCCATTATGGAGCCCTGTTATCCTTCAGTGCTATTTGGACTTGGATTTAACCTGGGACAAATAGTTTTCTTCTTATGCTTGTTCCATCCCTGCTTCCATGTTATATCCCTTCCCCTTCTAAAATGGTAATAATAAGAAATAACTAATCACTCTAGAACATAAATTTCATTTAAGATGTCACAATCGGAATATTATCCTCAGTTTTTCAGAGGCGCACACTTCCCACGGTTATATAGGTAGTACTAAATGGATGGATCTAGGATTCAAATTCAGGGCTTTCTGATTTTAAAATTCATGTTCTGCTACTGGCCAAGTGGCCTAGGGTGATTTGTTCTAAACGCTTCACCTCTGTATGGAGGCATCCATGCAGTGGGGCTTTTGGAAAGTGAAGGTGGAACCTCAGAGCCTTAATCGTTTTTTTTGTTGTTTTTTTTTTTTGAGACAGAGTCTCACTCTGTTGCCCAGGCCAGAGTGTAGTGGCACAATCTCAGCTGACTGCAACTTCTGCCTCCTGGGTTCAAGTGATTCTCCTGCCTCAGCCTCCTGAGTAGCTGGGATTATAGGCACCCACTACCATACCTGGCTAATTAAAACATTTTTTTTGGTAGAGACGGGGTTTCACCATATCTGCCAGGCTGGTCTCAAACTCCTGAACTTGTGATCTGCCTGCCTTAGCCTCCCAAAGTGCTGGGATTACAGGCCTGAGCCACTGTGCCCAGGCTGCCTCAATCTTAAAGCAGGCTCTCTAGAAGGAAGCTTGCAGGACTCGATGAGATTATTGTGTTAATCTGTTGCCAACAGCTATCTGGAAACAACATTTTGACAGTCTTCCCCCCACCCCTCCAAACCCCTTTCTTGCACATACTCCAGAATAATAGACAGAAGAATTTAATACATGTGATGCTTTGCTTTCCATTTACACTATCATAAATTACAAAGTATTGTTCACTTCACAAAATAAAACCATTTCCAGATAATTTTTTGACAGTATCAAGAAGTACATAAACTACAACAAACAAATCTGTACATTTGGGAGGAGGGATAATAGAAGGGAAGAGGTCAAAGCATTCTGACCTCCGTGTGCCAATGGAGTCCATCTGCATAGCCCTTGGGACTGTCAAGGTCAACGGTCACACGGTGGTCCTCCTTTCAGTTTCATGTAACACACAGTCATTCTCTTCTGCCCACTCCAAAGCAAGACGTCTGAGTTTACACAAATCATCTCAATCAGAGGAAAAGACATTGTAGTTGGATTTTAAAAAAATCTAGATTTATAGTTTCTGATGTTTTAAATATTTCACCTATGTTACAAAATATAGAAATCTTGGCGTGAAAGGCTCATACTAAGATAAATATAACCAAGAGAATGGAACTATAGTAATAAAATCATATTAAATTATCCATACAGAGCTACTTTTATCAAGGAGGAACAAACATTTGGGATAAGCCAACCTTATTCTCACTTTTAAAAACAGGTTTATAAAAAAATTAAAAACATTGACAATTATTCTGCAGATTCGCTTTTCACCAATACAGAAATGTGGCAAAAATACAATTTGATATTCAGAGGGCCTGGCCAGGAAGACAGGAGGAAAGGTGCTACATTTTTTACACAGACCAGATACATCTGGTGTTCTCAAATAATTTTAGGTAAAATGATCGCAAAAGACTATGACCAATTGCAAATCATACTTTGGGAATTCACAAAATTGGTACGAAAAGAAAATTAGTGGACATTTCAGACCGTCCTACAATTGCTATAAATATATACCATACAGTAGCAGAATGCCAGTGCTTAAGAGCAAAAACTATCAAAAGCAGGAACACAAGGGGCAGGTGAAATTCCATTGAAAAGCACTGAGGAGGACAGAGGTATGTCGAGATAATACTGCATTCATGGTCAACTTTTTCAGGGTGTCACAGCAAAATGAGGGACAAGGTACACAGCATAATAACCAATGCACTGCATTGACTTCTATTTGCTAAAATAACATTCTTGTGGCTAAAATAAAAGTACATTTTATGATAATAGCATTTAACATTGAACAGAATTGTCTTCTTTTTGTAAGTGGAAAATGTATAACTGTATCAAGTACCTTTATGAATTAAGTTCCCTTTTATTACCAATAAGACTAAAGTGTAAAGGTCTACATTATTTAATAAATTAAAGATGTATTAATCACTCTTCCAGCAAACCAGACATACACAGGAGGCACAGCAAAAGATCCAAGGTGAGGGCTTTCCTCACCTTTACCCTTGTTCTCATGTGGAGGTGGCGCGCGTCTATGAGACACAGCACTCCACTCGGCGATCCTCTGCGGTCCAGCAAATTCTATCACTTGTTTGGAAAACAAATCAAGCGTAAGAAACGTTTTTATTCCTTTAGCTTTGTCAACTAGGGTGGCGCTGGGGCCATTCAGCTCATTTCTCTGATGGGTTAAAACAAAACATCTTCGTTTTCTATTAAAATCTGCACAATCAGCTTTTGGTACCGCATGTCGTGCAGGGTGGTAAGGGTGCTATCCTCGGGGGGCCTCATCAGCGTGGGCCCAAACACGATCCCCAGATTTTCTGCATTCATAAAATTATCTTTTTCATTCATAGTAACCCTGCAAAACAGAACAGACATTACAGAGACTTGAGGATTGATTTCTGCATTATGTACGTAAGTCCCTACAACATCTCTGGTTCAGAAAACTGCAAGAAAAAGATAGGAATCAGAATAGCAGAAAGGTATTTTTTTAAAGGGTAATTTACCGATTTTTCTTTTTAAATTGTTGACGTCACCTTCGCCGGTTGAAATGAATTACTTATGTGAATCTGGCAGGAACAATTTTTAGAATTAGAAAATTAGTCCTTCTTATTAAGTAAATGTGGAACTATCACTTAAGGACTAGAATACTGGTTTGTAGGGGCAGCAGATTCTGAGGCTGGCCATGGTCCAGCGGAAGGCTTTTTTCCCCTCTTGTGGCTTCCTGCTAGTCTGTAGCCGGAGAGTGGGAAGCGGAGGGCAGGATCCCTGTCTGCTGGCAGGACCAGTGGCAGAGGAGAAAGGTTATGTGTAGAATGGGCCGTCATGAATTTAGGAAGAGCCTGGCCATTATCATGGGGTGGAGGAATGGCTGGAATGTGGCCAAACTGGAAGGCATTTGGACGTTATTTCTAGTTCCCACAGGATGAGGTCTACAGCAGTTGAAATCAAAAATCATCATTTTGACATCCAGATAAGAACGGCAGAGCCTTTAAGAATAAAATTCAAACTGCAAAGTTGGTTTAACACCTTCCTCATAGAATAAAATTACAACCTCCCAGAGTTTTGTTTTCACAAATTTATGTTTTAGAATGTTTGTAACAGATGTAAAAGGGAGTGGGTTCTCCAAAGAAGAGCAAAATGTAATTAAAATGTGTTTTGGCTTTGCATAGATAAGCCATCCCTTTCTATTTCCTTAGAACTCATTAGGATTAGCCACTGAGCATTATTTTAAGGTGAACCTGTTTGCATCATTTACATGCCACAAAGCTAAGAAGGTTGGAAAGAGGACATTTCCTACCATCAAAGTGAGCACAGCTTCCTCTTAAGTCAGGCACTACATCTGACCAAACAAGATGGCTAGCAATTGCTAGCCATGATAAAAATACACCATTATTGGCATTTAAGGTTCAACTGAAAGATGTCAGAATTTTTTCTGGTAGTGATACTTTGCCTTCCAAATTGTAACAACTGGATACTGATCACAATAAAAAAATCTAAAAATTACTTGTACTCCCAAATTTAATAAATTAATCAAAATGGGAATATTCTGAGCTGAATGTTACCACCACCTATCACTCTGAATCTGAGCAATGGTATTGTATGTCTTGTAAGGCAAAAAAAAATAGTAATAATAAAAACCTCAATACCTAGTGTTTTCACAGTCCTAGTGTTTATATAGTCCTCAGTTTGCTTCCTTTCACTTACTAAGTAGATCTGTAAACTGGGCAATGTAGACAACTTTTAGTTCATTTTATCAAAGAATGTTCATTTTATCAAAGAATGGGCTGCTGCCAAGTATTTTTCAAAAACATAGAGGCACACAGATGTGCCTTGATCCCTCCAATATTACAACACCAATTCATCGCCCTCATTATACATGTACAGTGAAAGAGAGAGACACATGGTTTAGGGAAAAGTGTGTCAGCTGAGGCTCTAGTGTCCTGGAAACATCCAAAGGTCTCCATCTCTGTCTCCCACACACTCACATAAACAGCCCTGTGTGTGGCAGCTACTCTCTGAGATGGTCCTCAGTGATCCATGCCTCCTGGAATTCATACCCTGCATCCCTTTCCCTAGAGTATGGGCTGGACTTGGTTTGCTTCTAACAAAACATGGCAAAAGCAATAGGATGTCACTTCTGATTCGGTTACAGAAAGACTTTCGTACTGGGTGCTCTTGCTTTCTTGCTCTGTGAGAAGCCAGTTGGGTTTCTGTGAGCTGCCTATGGAGAAACGCACATGGCAAGGAACTGAGGGTTGCCTCTAGCAAAATAGATGGCGAGGAGGTGAAGCCCTCAGTCCAACAGGCTTAAAGGAACTGAATCCTGCCAACAACCATGTGAGCAGGCTTGGAGACGGATGCTACCCCCATCAAGCCTTTAAGAGTGAATTTTTGAGAGAGAGTCTCGCCCTGTCGCCCAGGATGGAGTGCAGTGTCATGATCTTTGCTCACTGTGGCCTTTGCCTTCTAGGTTCAAGCAAGTCTCCCGCCTTAGCCTCCCGAGTAGCTGGGATTATAGGCCCATCAAGCCTTCAGATGAGACTGCAGCCTCATTACAGACCTTGAAACAGAGGCAGCCAGCTGAGGCATACCTGGATTCCTGACCCTTATAAACTGAGATAATAAATGTTTACTGTTTTAAGACACTGAGTTTTGGGGGCAATTTGTTACTTCATGACAGAGAATTCATACATCCAGAAAAATAAGAAATCAGGTTAGGAATGTGCTCTCCCAGAAGGCAGGCAAGCTCTGGAGCCTAGAAGGGGGCAAGCAACAGGGGGAAGAACAGGACACAGCGTCCAGGGCTTGTGTCAGAGGAAGACACAGAGGCAGTGTAGACAAATGGTTAAGGCTCTGCATCAGCCTGCCTGGGTTTAGATCCTCGCTTCACCTCTTCAAATCAGCTACGTAACCTCCCCAAGCATCAGCAATCTCGCAAGTGACACAAGGCCCCTAACGGTACCCCTCTCATAGGGATGATACACTGCAAGTGCCTGGAGTGGCTCCCGGCACAGTGAAGCTCCAGCAGTTACGGCTGGGGCTGGATGTTCTGTCCCCTCAGTGGGCTGGGGAGGAATGGCATACACTTTTCCTTATGCATTAACTGCCCTAGAGGGAGATTGGGCTTTGTGCACGAGGCATCAGCTTACTTTTTGAGATGGATCATTAGGTACCGGAGGGTTTCATAGTGGGCAGGAGGCAGCAGCATCAGTACTTCATGGACAGCTTCCAGCCTCTCATCTGCATTGGAGATTTCTGTGAAGTTCACACATGACGGGTATTAGTTCAGAGTTGTGGCATTCACGTTTTCAAAGAAGTAACAAGAAGTTTGTGTTTGCTTTGGCCAGAAATGAGGGAAGGATTCTAATAAATTCATGCAACCCAAGCACTGTTTCACTTAAATTAATCAATTTGTTGGTGTTCTGCATCATTCAGGAAAGAGTCTGAGTCTGAGTACCACATGCTAATTGAATGTCCTCAGTGTGGGTGGCCAGAGGCTAGACACGGTCCTTGCCCTCCATGAATGTGTAAACCAGCACAATGCATACAGTCTGGGAGCACGTGTGCAGACTGTGCTTTGCCGTCTTCTTAACACTGGCTTTGCTAGAAATCTCACTCCTACAAACTTTAAACTGCACCACATACAGTAGTATTCCCATAAAGTTGTCTAATGAGTCTTTCCCTGGCAGGCTTCTATAACCTAAGACGTTCACAAGGCAAGGACATTGGCAATGAGCCACCCAACTCAGCCTGCACTCATGGCACTTCTCACCGTGGTGTTGGCATGCTTAACCCCGGTGCACAGCCTAGGTTAGGAAGTGGAGACTGGACATAGTAACAATGGGAGGAAGAGTACATGCTTCTGGTTTTTGGGTCTCTGATAGGTATTGGCAGCTACTCAAAGAAAATGTTCCTGCTATTCCTTCTGGAGTGGAGGATACCCAGGTGCTACAACCTTCTTTGCCAGGACCACCAGGGCCCTGGAAGGAGGGAATAGTCTTCCTGGGGTCAGGGCCTCAGCTCATCTGGAAAGTGCATCTTGCACTGATCCCAGCCTGCTTTTGTGTCTTCCCATCAGGCATCTCATTACTATATTTAATAGCATACCTAAACTTTTCAACCTTTAAAGGTTTTTTTGTTTTTAAAAAACAAGCAAAAACTTCCTCAAAGTAAGCTCGACCTCTGTGTTATGTATCTCAGCATCTCATTCTCCCTTTGGTCACTTTTGCCTCTTCCTGGGCAAAGTGTAGCCCCTTCCTCCACACCTGCCTTTCACTCTGTTCCTCTTTCCTACAGCAGTGGGTCCAAGCACAGAACACCGAATGAGCAACCCTGGGCTGATGGAAGGCAAATGCTGATGTCCCATTCCGGGACCCAGGACCTCAGTTCTCTAAGCCTTGCTTTTCTTCTCTGTTAAATGGGATTATATTTGCCACATGGAGTACATGAGAGGACTAAACTTGAAGATGCTGGTGAGACATTCTAATATAGTACTCGACACAGTATATTCTGGCCTTCTACTAATTTTGAACAGATCAATAGACAAAACTTGGTTGTGACTTTAATTGATTAGCAAATGAGATTCTGCCTAACAGATAAAAGTAGTTAATCTAGACCAAGCTTGTCCAACTCGCAGCCTGTGGGCCACATATGGCCCAGGATAGCTTTGAATATGGCCCAGCACAAATCTGTAAGCTTTCTTAAAGATTATAAAATTTAAAAAAATTTTTTTAGCTTATCAGGTATCGTTAATGTTAGTGTATTTTATGTGTGGCCCAAGACAATAATTCTTCCAGTGTGGCCCAGGGAAGACAAAAGGTTGGATACCTTGATCTAGTCGGTCCTCACTGAAGATTCTTTTCTGCTACAGAAGTATTCATGCTTTCAACATAGAATAGCCTGACTGTGTTGGTTCCCAGCATACAAGGAACGATGGGACAGAACTGGCTGACACATACATCAGCCCACAGGGCTGGCTTAGTACAGGTTCACCTCAGCTGTTGAACTATGTTTGGTTGTCAATCAACTGTACTGCTGTGTCCTCACTTGGCAAGACAGTTACGAATGCAATGATTTCAACAGTTCTGAGTTTTAATTTTCTGAAGGTCAAAAGCATTGTACTTAAAAATTCAGCACACATAAAAAATTAATTTGAAATACTTACTTGCTGCATCTATAAATTTGGAATAGGTGTCATACGTGATGACAGGGATGGGTAAGTCTCTGAAATACAGTTTAAGGGCTCCAGTAATGATGTTTATGTCTGGATAGACATTGGCAGATATATCAGCCTTTTCACCATCTGAAAAACAATCAGTGATCCAAGTTCTAATTAGGACCTTCTTTCACCAAGGCATGTACAGAAAGAAAAAAGAAATCCAACAATGAATGCTCCCTGACAAGTCTCAGCTAACTCTCTTGGCTTCCAATAACACTGAAGTGTAGGAGGCAATAGAAGGGAGCTTGGTGAGAGTGAGTTAGGCTCTGAGGGTTTGTGCAGGCAAACAGGTGATAAAACAAACTCGAAACAGTGCTTTTGGTCCCAGCTGCTGGTAATTTGCTAAATAGAAAATTAGCACAATAATTTGTATTATAAACACAAAGGTTCATAATGAAATGACAGTCTAATCGGAAACAAGAGAACATCAAGAAGCTCTGATACATCTCCACCAGTGTTTCTAACCCTTGGATTTGGAAGTCACATTCACAAGATGATTGTTGAATATTTTCAGTTCTTACTTTTTCTTTCAGGCTCACTGAAGGTTTTTTTAAGTTCATCCTTCTTCCCTGATCCCCTAGGACTTTAATCTGGGACACTTTACCCTTTCCTCATGAATATGTGATGTTGTATTTCTTATCATTCCTTTTTTTCTTTTTCTTTTATTTTCTTTTTTTTCTTTTTTTTTTTTTTTTGAGACAGTCTTACTCTGTAGCCCATGCTGGAGTGCAGTGGGGCAATCTTGGTTCACTGCAACCTCCACCTCCCAGGTTCAAGTGATTCTGCTATCTCAGTCTCCCAGGTAGCTGGGATTATAGGCATGCACCACCATGCCTGGCTAATTTTTGTGTTTTTAGTAAAGACGAAGTTTCACCATGTTGGCCAGGCTGGTCTCGAACGCCTGACCTCAAGTGATCCACCTGACTCAGACTCCCAAAATGCTGGGATTACAGACATGAGCCACCTTGCCCAGCCTATATTTCTTACCATTTCTAACAATGATTTGCAAGACATTTTTTGACTTTTAGTTGTACCATTGGGAAATACCAGTCCAATTTGATTAAAAATGTTTTAGTCATCTAGGAATTCTTAATACCTTTTGCGTAAAGAATTTGCTTCAGCAAATTGGTTCTGAAGATTAAAAAGCCGTGAATGAACAGAAGACAGGAAAAGCCTAGCAGATAGGCCATGCTGATTTCATTATTTACATACTTAGCAAACAGTTACTGAGAATCTGTCATGTGCCGAGCACCGTTAAGCCCTAGTGAACCAAAGAAGAAAAGAGATACTCTCTTCCAACCAACAGTTCTAGTTAGATGGACAGTCAGACATGCAACTCAACCATGACAAGGAAATGGGAAGATTGCTATGCCGAAAAAATGCGGAGAATGTGGTGGGCGGGATGTGGAAAAAGGAAGTGGAGCTCTGAGCTTAGGGCAGTCAGGGAGGCTTCCTCAAGAACGAAAGGCTTGTGCTGACCCCTGATTACAGGCGTTTGCCAGGCAGAGAGGTGAATACATTTCAGATGGACAGGACAGTGTGAGCTGAGGCACTTCTTCATGGCAACAAATTTTTTTTTTTGTAGTATTTCAGGATTGCTGGATATGTTTCAGGATTGCTGAAGTATACAATACAGTAGGGAGGAGGAACTGGAGAGGAGTGTAAAGAGGGAGGGAGGGCCACATCACTGAAGATCTCCTGTGCTACACTACAAAGCAGAGGCTGTATCCAATAGGGGTTCCATGTCTTGACTGGCTGTACCAGAATTATTTGGATTATTTACTAGAAATACAGATTCTTGGGCTTACTGAGCTTTCTGAGTGAGTCTTCGGGTTGGATTCTAGTGACCAGTATTTTTAACCAGATCCCCAGGTTGACCATGATATCTAAGCTAAGAGAAAAGCAGTTCCCTCCTAAACCTCCACTGGGTTCCCCTACGTTAGTGCTGGGGGTGCCCTTCCATCCCTCTGATCCCTTCTTTGGAGCTTTGAGAGGAGAAGAATGGGATCCTGAGACAGGGGATGCAGAAGGGGACTCCAGTGCCATGTGCATTGGCTTCCCATTCACAGTGATCACTTGTCAATGGCTGCTAAAGAAGCACTTCGCCCAGAGAGGCAGAAACATGAGATGTGTAAGCCATTATTCCTCTGTTTCTTGAAGAGCAACTCTTAGTAGTTCCAAAACCCCATTTCTACTATGATTAAAATCTAGTTCCAAGTGAGAAGGGTGTTAGGATGTCAGATGGCATTCAAGAAAGTACAAGCTTACCTCTGTCAAATGCCATTTTGACATCTTCAATGTGTTCGGTGAACCCAGAGACTCTGTAAAGGCCTTCTGATTTTAATCCTGTTAGAGAGAGAGACAGACTGACTTTAGCTTCTTGAAACATCTAAAAAAAGACTCTAATTTCTACACTACATGCTCTCAGGAAATAAGTAAATACAGTCAGTGATCTTATTTATCACACACTGTTGCGTCACAACTTGCACTTGTCTATCACAGTTTCCAGGCAAGTCTCTTCTCACTTGTCCATGTAGCAGTGGAGAGCTCAGTGGAAATCCAGTCTTATTTCTGCCTGGCTTTCCAAAGAGAACTGATATTTAAGATTCTCATGGACCATTCCCTTACTTCCCTTCCTTTGTTCATGAGCTTGCTGAACACGAATTTCATCACTGTGGGAAGTAACCTGGCTTTCTTCCTAGCATCATCTTTCTTTTAAAAATTTTTCTGGGTACTAGTAGGTACATATATTTATGGGGTATATGAAATGTTTTGATAAAGGCATACAATGTGTAGTAATCACAGCAGTGTAAATGGGGTACATCATCTTAATCCATGTGCTACATTGTATGTAGCACTGTACTAGGTACACAGATGTATGTATGTGTGTATCTAATGTATATTACACTGATTTTATTGGAAAAAATTAGAATATTACAGCCTTTCATGTTTACTCATAAATAAGACTATATGTTAAGTGTTTAAAAATGATTACTTGTTATACTTTCCAACAACTGACTATACAAACAGATGCAGGAAAATAAAGTTCTAGTTCTTGCTTCTAGAAATTTGATCATTCCAAATTTAGGCTAAGAAAAAGACTTGGTTTCTGCTGGAGCTTATTGATGTGTTAAGACAATGTCCTAAAAATGAGTCAGTTCCCAAAAGTATGAGCAGGGATCAAAGAACCAGATTTCAGAGTGTATGTCACAAACTAGCTGCTATCAAAACTATAGCTGCAGTAGAAACAAGCAAACAAATACTTTCTGCTGCTGCTGCATATATTCTGCCAACCTCTTGATAATTCACATGCACGCCTGTTTTTTCATTTGGAAAACATTTATGGAGTATGTACCATCTGCCATATATAAGGGTCTTCATTAGGTATGCATCAGAGACGACACATATACAGTATGAATCACAAATACTTCCCCTCCTCCCTCCTGTAACCATGACAGATGCCCTTAGTTGATCTCTGCCCTTTTTCCCACTGAGCCCTCTTTGGCCTCAGAATTTGTCTAAGTACCAGTTGTTCAGGTGACTGCTACTGATCACCTGGAGTTGTCACACAAGACGAAACCTGTGGGTCATCCTGTTCTAAGATGCTGGTGCATGTAAACACATCTCAGTCCAGTTAGAACACGCACTGCCCCAGAGGCACAGACCCAGTGGATTATGGGAGCACCTAGCATTGGACAATGAACTCTGCTTGTTGATGGATGAATCCAAGTTCTCGCCTCTGGTGAGGCTCTCTTTCTAGCTCACAGACGGCCACCTTCTCTCATGTGTCCTTTTCTTGGTATATGCACATGGAGAGGGAGACAGCGAGCTTGCTCTTTGGTGTCTCTTCTCATAAGGACATTCCACATATTGTTTACGGTCCCTCCTTTAGGACCTCATTCAGCCTTGATTACTTCTTTGGAGACCTCCATCTCCAAATACAATCACACTGGAGATTAGGGTTTCAATATGTAAATTTAGTCGGGCGGGGGACACAAACATTCAGCCATAAGATTCACTGAGTCACTTGCAAAGAAATCCAGGTTTTCAAAGAACGTAGTAAAATCCGTGCTTTTGTTCTCACTCATAAGTGGGAGTTGAACAACGAGAACACATGGACACAGGGCAGGGGGCACATCACACACTGGGGCCTGTTGTGGGATGGGGCAAGGGCAGGGAGAGCATTAGGACAAATACCTAATGCATGCGGGGCTTAAAACCTAGTTGATGGGTTGACAGGTGCAGCAAACCACCATGGCACATGTATACCTATGTAACAAACCTGCACATTCTGCACATGTATCCCAGAACTTACAGTAAAATAAAAATTCTATGCCTTATACTATATGCCAAGTTGTATGGTTTAGAGTATAATTAAATGGGGATAATCTTCCTGACTCCAGCCCATGCTTCACTGAGCAAAGCATCATCCTATATTATATCGAGATGCTTTTTTTGAGAAGCTAATCTTTGAAGGAAATGATAAAGGATGCGTTAGAATTTGCCAGAGTAGCAGAAGCTGCCAGCCCTTCCAATATTTGTTCTCCTGTTCTTCTGTTGTAGCGAAACCTTTGATTTTTAGAATATCCATTGCAGTGGTCATTGAACTCTGGCCCATGTGAGAGCAGAAGTGACATTTACAGCTGCTGGGTTGTGGCCTTGAAGGAACTGAATGCTCTTTTCTGCTTCTTGTTGCTTGACATGCAGATGAGATGGTGGTGGCCAACTGCGATCTTGCACTCAGGACAGCACTCAAGCAGGACAGAGCAACAAGCTGCAGTGCCTGGGTGCCTGCCCTGGGCGATCAGACTATTCCTGGACTGCTCCTGGGTACCTGGACTGTGACTACGGAGAGAAATAGATTTCTATCTTGTCAAAGGCACTGTTACTCAGGATCTCTGTGACAGCATTGAGATGTCCAGGCTAAGTAATATAGTTAGATTTGGAGGTGGGGGTATGGGTTTGGTCATTCCAAGAAAAGGCAAAAACTGAGTCCAGTAGATTGGACACTGTACTAGGTCCATTTTTGTATCAATTCACTTTAATCCTCACTAACCACCTTATTTTATTGACAGAGGTACAGTTGATTCCATTCATATTACAGATGAGGAAACATATTTAAATATAGTAAGTAACTTGCCCAAGGTCACACTACAGCCATTAAGAGACAGGGCTGGGAATTTAAGTTCAAGTCCTTGATCTTTTCACTCTACCACATCAGGCAGAGACAAATGAACATTAAAGAACATCTGGAGGACAATAAGAAATTCTCTGTGACTGGAAGACACTGAAAGATGCTGGTAGTGGTGGCCCCACAGCTGGGAATGTGAGTGTCATACAAATTTCTCCCAGCCCATTCTCTGGTTCTGCTTGTCTGCTTTGGCCCCTAATAGCGGGGGCTCTAATCCCTGTGCTATGATTCTTTTGGTGTAAATTCCTAATTTGTGCCATTCTATCTAGCTCTTATACTAGGCATACTTAGTGCTGTGCTCCCTATTATGAAATGTTAGACAAAGGCAGTAATGTTGCCTGAATGATCAGTTTTCTCTGTTAAGGATCGCGATGGGAGGACCCCAGCTTCTTCAGAAAAGCCCTGAGTGCAAGTTCTGGAGAGGCAGATAATCTGACCCCAAACTGCGGAGGCAGGGCCACTTGCCCAACCACTCATCCAGAGGCAGAGAATCCTTCCTCTCCTCTTACCCAGTGTAGCCACTGGATTAATATGTTCACCAGATCCCAAAGTACTCATTAAGCTCTGTCAGCCACAGCAGTGAAAATACAGAAGGCATTTCTTACACTCTGAGATTAACTTAGAAGTCATCGGGGAACAGGATAGCTATGGCTTTCCCCTCCACAGAAGAGGGAATAATTCCCCTCTCTCCAAAGGGTTGGGATAATAAGCTATGACATCCTGTTTAGTTTTGCTTTGGAAAAAATTGGGTAGTTGACAAATATATTTTATACATATGTATTTATTGGTATATTTTTATATATTATTGGTATATTTATATATTTTATACATATATAAATATTTATACAATAAATATATATGTATAAAATATATTAAGCCAATTTGGACGCAATAATGGATACCAAGTATAACAGAATATGATACATGGCAACAATGGTTCATGCCTTATAAAAAGGCTCTATACGTGGCCAAATCACCCAAGTTACATCCAGCAATGCAACTTCTCCTCAGTCAGACCTGGTCTGCCCTGTCCGTGAACATTTTGATGCTGAATAGTGGCCAAAGAAAGCACAAATAAAGGAAAAGTGACCCATGTACAACATAAAGAGCATTTTTTGAAATGTTTCTATCTCCTTGTCTCCTTTATTTTCATTGCATGGATCTCTTAAATCTTTGAAGTTTCCTCAATAATATTAGGGGCACATGTTTAAATGGTTGGAGATGTGCTGCTCAACAATTTCTTATTTAATAGAAGCACCTTTTTTCCCTCATAGATCCAATACAAGCCTCACTTCTGTCATAACCGTTTCTCAGTTGTCCTCGAATAGGATTAAAGCACTTTCCGTTGTGACTCCATGGTACGTCGAACGTGGCCATCCACAATGTTTTATTTATTTGCTCCCCCGATTGCCCACTCTAACGTATGAAATTCTTCCACGTCTCAGCCTCCCAAGTTGCTGGAACTACAGGTGTGCGTGCATGCGCGCACACACATGCATAGGTCATTTTTCCAAGAGTGGCAGAGCAACTCTGTTTCCTCAGCAACAGTAAAAACAAACAATAAAAATGGAATCACTATACTACAACAGGAATTATTTTTCAAACCTCTTGCTTCAATTTCCCGAATGCATATGTCCACCACCATGGGCCTCTGAGTATTGTGGGCCTTCACAAGTGTTGTGAGATCACAACAGTACACCTTCTTGATCCTCTTGAGATCAGGTTGGCAGTCATTGGGAACGTGCTTGGAACACTGTTTGTGTACGTTCAGTCCACAGTCTGTAAACGAAGAAGCCGCATTAGCCCTAGCCCAGCCCTTTTGTCAAAGTGCAACAAAAATTATATATTGCCCAAAATAAAAATATCACCACCCAAGGGTTTGACGTATTTCTATGGAACATCTATCTCATTTCAAGGTGATACTCTCTACAGGATGAATAGGAGTATCATCTCTAATCACTAAACCCTTATATGATTCCACTTTTCTCATTAAGCCTTCTTTGTTGCTGGACCTTAAGAACAGAATGAGATAGTTTAGGTAATTGATCAGTTTTTTTGTATATGTTTTCCTGTTTCAGGCTAGAACCCTTTGGGTCCACAAGCTGGCTTTTGGGTTTGGATTCTCAGACAGTTCTGGCTTATAAAGGGCACCTAGGGCTTGTTCCAGGGTGTTTCCTTTGAGCTCTTGATGCTCCGTGTGTGGGAGGCAGAGTTGCTCTTTCCACAGTGCCCTCTAATCTGTGCTTTCAGGAGCCCATGACCATTGGTATCCTTTTCCCTTTTCCCGGAAGGTGGCCCCATAGTTTCCAATCCCTTCCTCCTTGGGCAGTTTGGGAAGGCTGCTCTCCTTTTTACATGCCTTACTTTGACACCTGTGAGTAGAAATAATGCCTAACTATATTTACCAGTAGGAGTACTTGAGAGTTTATACCAATGCCATGTAATGTTATTTATAAAGTTCATAGGAAAACCCAAAGCTGAAAAGGGTGTTTTAAAGTAGCCTTTAGCAGTCAATATCCACTGACGGAATTTCTCTGGCACAGTTGGCTGGATGTGGTGGCTCATGCTTGTAATCAGCACTTTGGGATGCTGAGGCAGGTAGGCAGATCACCTGAGGCCAGGAGTTCCAGACCAGCCAACATGGAGAAACCCCATCTCTACTAAAAATACAAGATGGGCTTGGTGGTGGATACCTGTAATCTCAGCTACTCAGGAGGCTGAGGCAGGAGAATCACTTGAACCCAGGAGGCAGAGGTTGCAGGGAGCCGAGATTGCACCACTGCCCTCTAGCCTGGGTGGCAGAGCGAGACTCTGTCTCAAGAAAAAAAAAGGCACAGTCTACATTTTGTTACATTCTGAAAGATAAAAATTCAGTACCAAAGTTGTTCAAAGGTGATGTGCTGTCTACTCAGTGTCTTCTAATACTGTTTTCCTAGGCACGAAGAATAACAAACACAGATGACAATGAATATTGTAGTCAGCTGCTTTTTATAAAATAGGACTTAACCACACCGAGAACTTGAGAGGATCTAAACTTTTATAAAATCAGTGGTAATTTCTAAGTGATTTTCATGTAATTTTTATTGGCTGAGTTCTCTGCCTACCCTCCTTTCAAAGGAAAAAAAAAACAGTTCTAATTATCTCTTTATCAACGTGAGAAATTCAACAAAGCTCAAGTGACTTCAATAATATTTTGATACATCTATCTAGTGAATGTAAATTTTGGCTAACTGAGCTCAATAGAGTTGGCCGGTTCTCTGGTTGAACCCTCTTTTATAGGAGATCATAAGAGCACCTACCTCTTGGCATTAGCCATGAGGCTCAAATAGAAGTTAACAAAATGTTTAGCATAGTTTCTGAAATATAGTCAATATTGTATATGTGTTAAGTCAAATAAAATAAGTAGCAAATATGGTGATAAAAAATGGACAAATATCTGCCCAGCTATTCTTAAGTGATTTCATTAGGAATTCTTAGTATGTCTTACAAACTCCATTTACATTTTTTTTGTTAAATTCTGGTAAATATACACAAAATTTATCATTTTAACCATTTTAAGTGTATGATTTGGCGGCATAAAGTCCATTCACACTGTTATGTAACCACTACCACTGCCATCTCCAGAACTTTCTTCATCTTCCAAAATGGAAACTCGATACCCATTAAACTCTCCATCCACCCATCCCCCGTAACTACCATTCAACTTTCTACCTCTTGGAATTGCTACCCTAGGTACCACATATAATAGGAATCATACACTTTCATTTAAGACCTAAAGCAACAATGTGTTTTTATAGTTTAATATTGATATTTTATTAAAATTGTTTTATAACAAATATAAAATATTCCAGTTTTTACAAAGTAATAGAGCTCCATATGCTACAAATAAAGTCCAGTGCACTCTAAAAAATACTTAATATATGGAAAGCTGAAAGGCAATGATGGTTCTTCCTAACCTTTCATGATCAGTTTTCAGCCTTCCTTCTGCTAAGAGGAAATATAAGGCCAAAGAGTAGCCACTGGAAAATACTAACAATATGGCCTTAGAAAATGTCTTTAAAAAAATAAAAAAAAAACCAGAAAAAAAAAAACAAAAACCCTTCTATCGCAGAGAAAGTTGAAAAGTTGCTGTTCACAGCTAATATGAAGCCCAGAGTTTTGTTCTCCTAATATTGACTTTGGAGCAATTTCTGGCTGAAATTGGATAATATCAGCAATTAGGGATATTTTTGGTAGGTACAATATGGAAGGGCCAAATTAATGACCACTGAGTAATTCAGATGTTCTACCCCTTTTCTCAGTGGCTGAGCTGTGAGATACTTTGCTACTCCTGGCAAGTCAGTCTTTGGTGTTAATCAGGGTTTCTGAATATTTCTGGAGAAGCTGCTTCTGCGCCTCTGTTGACCATAAACACAGACCTGCAGTGGGGGAGCTAGAGCTACTTGAACCATCCAGGTATCAACAGCAGTGATTACTATATTTACACAGTAGAAGCTAGCAGCCCTTTCCAGGCAGAGAGGAGGATATAGGGTGCTGTGAGCCAAAATGGGAAAGATCACCTTAATTAGTGTCATTACCTCATTGTATTCTAAATGCTCCTAAGATTTAAAAAAATCATATCCTATCAAGGAAGAAGTCAGTCATGGTATTGGTAGAAACCCAATCAATATCAGAGGAGGCTGGTCTTGCTCCCAGCCATGGGTGTTTGCCAGAAAAATCAAGATGAATTAGGAAACCCAGCTGTACATTAATGTGGCAACTCTTTATCATTGTGTTAGATGTACCTTAAGATGTGTGCTGTTACCAATGGGTATATACCTCCAACTTCAGGTGGAAAATCACCCAGGCTTTCAAACTACTTTGAAAATATGTGATATCTGAGTGCGTACTTTCATTGCAAATCTGATGACAAAGAGATACTGATCATGAGCTCTGGAATCTGGCTGCCTTTGAATCAATATTCTATTCCTTACTACGTAGCCAAGGGCAAAGAACAAGCCTCTGTGTCTTCTTTTTTTTAAATTGAGGATAATTGCATCTCCTCCAAGGTCTGCTGGTGAGGCTAATGACATGATAAATAAATAGAGATTAGCTGGTGCCTGGTATGTGGTTAATTTTTACCAGCACTATTACTATTTTTATGTCTTACCTTTTGTAGAAAGATGGGGTAGGAAAATGTGGCTTTTTGAGTTATGCACTTTCATTGGAATTGATTCTTTTTTTTCTTTTAAGGACTACTGCCTATTGTGTGAGAGGCAGGTAGGTGTGTAAGGAAATGTACTTTATTTTTTTTTCTTTCCTTGCATAAACATGAGATATTCTTTTTCATTCCTGCAAGCACTTGAACTACTTTCCCCATTAAGCACAGACAGGCCTTGAACCCTGCAGAAAGCTAGACTTTTGAGCTGATCTGAGCATGTTTCCCAGTGCTGGAGGGACATCCTTCAGCTCAGCACAGTGGCATTTTATATAATTGGAGAAGAAAAAAGTTCTGTGTCTACCTGAGCACCGGACCCCTTGGGCGATGAGCCCCCACATGAAATTGGCACAATATTCACACCAATGTGGGCCTCGGAATGTGTGGACCTGTGATCCAAAAAGAAGAAAAATGTCAGAAAATTCAGAGTCATTTAAAGGCAGGTAGCCTCAGACACATCAACGAAGATCAGCAGGAACCATCCCCCACTGGGCTTTCCTTCCAGTAAGGCAGCTGCAAACAGATCCTGAGAAAACGGACCTGTGCTTTGATCTTTGAAAAACCTTCATCGATCCAGGACATGCCCCAGGACAGAGTCAGAAAGGAGCATGGACAAACAGAGCATAGGTCATGGTATCAGCCAAGGAGTGAGACTCTTACCACCCACAACGAGGCACTGTGTGGACAAACCCAAGAGAGCAACCCAAGCTGGTTGCTATAACCTGCATTTAGCTCAGCAAATTCTGGAAGGCAGAACTCATTTCCTGTGTCCTTTCGACTGACGTTTTCCCATCTCTACAGTATCCAGGAAGGTATAAATAAGACATGATTATGGGATAGTTATAAAAGGTTCCAAGTCTTTGAGCTACTTCCAAAAAAAGGCATTTTAAAAAGTAAAGGAGTTGGCTAAAAATGCAGGCAGCCAATGGGGCCTATGGAATTGCTTTCCCCACAGAGTGTGCCTATATTCAGTAGGACTTGGTGTGGCCTTCAGGTAAGTAAGTGGAAAATCTCTCCTGGTTGACCAAAGTGCTGGTCTCATTGTTTGATGCCCCAGCTCGTTGTTAAATATTCTGAATATCACAAAGTAAAGGCATTCTTTTTTTTTTTTTGAGACAGAGTTTCGCTCTTGTTACCCAGGCTGGAGTGCAATGGCGCGATCTCGGCTCACCGCAATCTCTGCCTCCTGGGTTCAGGCAATTCTCCTGCCTCAGCCTCCTGAGTAGCTGGGATTACAGGCACGCGCCACCATGCCCAGCTAATTTTTTGTATTTTTAGTAGAGACGGGGTTTCACCATGTTGACCAGGATGGTCTTGATCTCTTGACCTCGTGATCCACCCGCCTCGGCCTCCCAAAGTGCTGGGATTATAGGCTTGAGCCACCGCGCCCGGCCAAGACATTCTTATCTCTGATTATTGAGGCAAAGGTCCTCCTCTATTAAATTATGATTTGAAATAAAAACAAAAGAAAGCAAAAATACTGGCATGAAAGAGCTGTAAGAAGCAGATGTGGCCGTGGTCAATCTTAAATTACCACAGGCAGTCTATGGGGGGGCACACAAAAGTGCACGAAAATGTCCTGAATTTTTACAAAGTGAAAATATCATAAAACATTATAGAAGGCTTTCAAAGTCATAAACCTCTATTCACAAGTAAAAGAAATGTAGACAATGTTATTATTATTACTTTTTTTTTTACAAACTGCTTTTATTTAACAAAAGCAGGATGACAAGTATGGTCACAATTTGGAAAGGTGTTCATCTGAATTCTACTTAAGAAAAAATAGCCTCAGTTTGAGGTCTTTATTCATACATATGAGTAATTGGGTATACATAAAGAGGCAAACAACACGGATCTGGACCTCTTCTAAGTAAACTCACTGATGAGTAAAAGCAGAGAAAGAAGATAAGCTAGTTAATACATAAAAAAGAGTAACTTGTGACTGCAATGAAGCAAAGTTACAGTAGTCTTTCTGGCATTTCAGTTGATGATATGCAAACTGCCGACTATATAGTTTCTGTTTTGAAAAGAATACAAAAAAATTCTTAGCATTTCTCTAGGGAATGACCCTAAGACATGACAAAGCATTTTTTTTTTACAGGAATGCAGAGAATTCATCCCAGAAGTACTTACAGGGCCAAATGTCGTAACTGCCACCAAGATTGAAATCGGTACTAAAAGAATTCCTCAGTAAAGTATTCTATTTAAAGGTGGACATTTTCTAAATTCAGCAATCATACATTCCTTAACATTTTACTAGAAATGCTTAATTATGGCAGTAAAGTCAATTACTAATCTGCTGTGAAGATCAATTAAATATAATAAAACAATATGTAAAATGCAACTCCAGGAAAAAAAAACTATCAAAAGGGCTACAGAAGGAAAAAAGATGAGGCTGCTACTAGAGAGAGCAAGTGGGGCCCAACCTCATCCGGGATGGTCAGGAAAGCCTCTCTTGGAAGTTGACCTGATGGAAAAGAAGAGCCAGTTCTCTTCTATAGGGAAAGAGAAAGGGACAGAGATTGTTCCTAGCAGAAAGAATACACAGAGGGCTTGCAGGAGCAGAAGAGCTTGTTGTGATGAAGGAACTAGATGGCCAGGGTGGCCAGAACACCAAAAGTTTGGGGGAGAGGAACTGAGATGAAGTTGAAGGCAGGAGAGAAGTTTCACAGGGCCTTAAAGGCTTTATTCATGAGTGTGGATTTGGTTTTAATCTAGGTACAGGAGGAAGTTCTTGTCAGGACTCCATGTGCAAGCCTGGACCCAGAAAGTCTTTAGTCCTGCCTGCCTCAGCTGATCCCCTGCCCTGCCATCTTTTTTTTTTTTTTTTTTTTTTTTTTTTTTTTTTTAAAGAAACAGGGTCTCACTATGTTACCCAGGCTGGAGTGCAGTGGCTATTCACAGGCGCTATCCCACTACTGAGCAGCACAGGAGTTTGACCTGTTCTGCTTCCAACCTGGGCCGGTTCACCCCTGCTTAAGCAACCTGGTGGTCCCCCACTCCCAGGAGGTCACCATATTGATGCTGAACTTAGTGCGGACACCCAGTCAGCATTGCTTGCACTACAGCCCAGAACTCCTGAGCTCAAGCGATCCTCCCACCTCAGCCTCCCGAGCAGCTGGGACGTGCCACTGTGCCCGGCCCCCCCGCCATCTTAACTGTTATTATGATAATGTGAATACTCCTCACCTCACCCTGCCATCTTAACTACTCTTAGGCCTTACCCCACCCGCCATTGTAAGTGAACTTATGGTAACATACACTCCTTGCCCGTACCGCCACCACTGTAACTCATCTTACTCTGTAACTTTCCACTGCCCATCCCAAACCTATAAAACCAACTCTTATCCCACCGCCCTTTGCTAACGCCCTTTTTGGCCTTAGCTCACCTGCACCCAGGTGAATAAACAGCCATGTTGCTCACACAAAGCCTGTTTGGAGGTCTCTTCACTCAAAGCGTGCATTTTTAACAGTTCTTGGAGGACCTCACATTTATCTCTAAAAAAGATTATCCTGACAACTGTGTTGAAAATGAATGGGAGGATGTTAATAGTGGTCTAGATTTGAAAACAACGTTGTAGTCTATTTGAACAATGGTAGAGTCTAAGACCTGGACGCTGGCAGTGGAGATGGAAAGTGGATGAATTTGAGATATTTTTTGAAGATGGAATTTATAGGACCTGATAATAGAATAAGTGTGGGCTGTTGAGGGAGAGAGGAGTCAAGAATGACTCTGAGATTCTAGCTTAGGAACTGGGTAGTTGATGATACCATTTGCTGAGATGGGAAAAACACTCTTCTGGGGAGAAATTTAACAATTCCATTTTTGATAAGGTTAAATGTGGCTATGATATCCAAGTGTTAGTGTCAAGCAGGAACTCATAATTTGATAGCTCAGAGGACGGGCAAAGACCAGAGGTATAAATTTCACCATCTATGAATAGATACTTAAAATCATGTGAATGAATAAAAAGTATAGTCATGCATCTCTTAATGATGGAGATACATTCTGAGAAAAGGATCATTGGGGGGTTTCATCATTGAGGGGATAATCCTAGAGTGTACTTGCACAAGCCAAGATGGCAGAACTTACTACACGTCTAGGCTATATGGTATGACCTATTGTTTCCAGGCTACAGACCTCCACAGCATGTACTAAATACTGTAGGCAACTGTAACATACCAGTAAGTATTTATGTACCTGAACATAGAAAAGGTACAGTAAAAATACACTATAAAACATAAAAAAATTGTGCACTTACATAGGGAAGCTCCATTATAATCTTATGGGTTCACCATGATATATGTGGTTCATTGTTGACCTAAATATTGTTATATAGCACATGACTATATTAAGAGTAGGGAGCAGAAAACAAAAGTGAGCTCATCCCCAAGCACTCAGTGTTCAAAACATTCAGAGAAAACCAACGAAGTGTTCCAGAAGCCAAGAGGTGAAGAATGTTTCAGGGAATGGTCAATCATGTTGAATGCTGTTAAGAGGTCCAATAAAATAAGTACTAGTGACAAGCCTGGGCAATATAGTAAGAGCCCATCTCTCAAAAGAGTTTGAAATGTAGCTGGGCCTAGTCACATATGCCTATAGTACTAGCTACTCAGGAGGCTGACATGGGAGGATGGCTTGAGCCCAAGAGTCCAGGGTTAAAATGAGCTATGATGGCGTCTCTGTACTCCAACCTGGACAACAGACTGAGATACACACACACACACGAAAAAGAAATATAGATTTAATTAAACCAAGAAAAAGCAGGAAAGGAGAAAAAAAGATGCAATAGAAAAGCACAGTGAATATGGAAAAAATCCTTATACAACTCTAATGATTATAAGTGGCTCTAATTCATCACAAAAAGATTTTCAGATAATATTTTAAAAATCCTTTCAAGAAACCCAACTAAAACATAACATGAGAGAAATTTTGTAAGTAAAACAGACATACCTAGCAAACTATCCAATAGAAACCAAAAACAGAGAATATATATATATATGTGATAAAGATAATAGATTTATTTTTACCAGAAAGATGTAATTTTGAGCTTATGTATGACAATATGGTCTCAAAAACATAAAGCAAAATGGAAAGACTTACAAAGAGAAATTGACAAATCCACAGTCATGATTTTGATATCTTTCTCAGAAACTAGTGGATCAAATAGAAAGTTGATATATGAATACAAAAGGGATCGCATATTGAGCAATTAAAAGAACACACACACTTTTCAAAACCACTTGGAATATTCATACCAATTCACCACAAATTCATCTTCAACATAAACAAAAAATTGATACCATACATACTGTATTCTGAATATGATACAATACGAAATATATAGAGAGCCAAACCCCAGTATGTTTGGTACCAGTAGTATACATT